CACCCCACACAACCATAATTCCCCAACACAACTCTACTTCCCCCACCCCACACAACCATAATTCCGTCATACAACCATAGTTCCCCCGCCCACCCCACACAACTATAATTCCCCAACACAACTCTACTTCCCCCACCCCACACAACCATAATTCCCCAACACAACTCTACTTCCCCCACCCCACACAACCATAATTCCCCAACACAACTCTAGTTCCCCCACCCCACACAACTATAATTCCCCAACACAACCCTAGTTCCCCCATACATAACTTGTATTTTCCTTACACAACTCTAATACCCCCACCCCACACAACCATAATTCCCCAACACAACTCTAGTTCCCCCACCCCACACAACTATAATTCCCCAACACAACTCTACTTCCCCCACCCCACACAACTTTAGATCCGCGAACAATACCCCAATTTCTCCCCTAAATAAGTTTCTTCTATACAGCCCTAGTTCCCCCACACAAAACTCTAGTCCTTCACAACCATACCCCCCCCACACACACAAATACCCTCCCTCCCCCATATACATATATCCCTAACACAGCCACTCAGAACGAAAATCTTTTACACACCTACATTAGTGCTGTAATAACCATAACAAAAATTCCTGCTCTATTGTTGGCAGTCTATTCACACAACCACTTGATGTATTCTATTTCATAAAACTGGGCGTTGGTTTTACAGCATTTCAATATACACCTTTAAAAAATCTTTTATTAAACCAACGTTTTCCTATACCACCTATTGGGCAGACGCAAGTCTTGTGATTACATAAGTCGTATGTAAGCATTACACAAGTCTTATAATTACAGATTACATGTTGACACAGCCACTGCGCATGTTCACGTTAAGCATGTTAGCGAGTAGTTTTATCCTTCCCAAAAATACGCCAGGTACTCATAAAGGCTGAGTGACTTACTTCACTTGATCCTTTTAAACCCCTAAGGTACAATGAGCTGCAGCTTTATTTCCCCACCTTTTGAGAAGCTCTCTTTAGTTAGGTCCATGTTAGCCCGGCAGTCCTTGCTTCTCTTTCCACTGTCCTCCCCCGTGTACTCACAAAAACTGAGAGAATTCTAGATGTCTTAGCATGTGGTAATTAGCATGTGGTAATTAGCATGTGGTAATTAGCATGTGGTAATTAGCATGTAGTAATTAGCATGTGGTAATTAGCATGTGGTAATTAGCGTGTGGTAATTAGCGTGTGGTAATTAGCGTGTGGTAATTAACATGTGGTAATTAACATGTGGTAATTAGCATGTGGTAATTAACATGTGGTAATTAGCGTGTGGTAATTAACATGTGGTAATTAACATGTGGTAATTAGCATGTGGTAATTAACATGTGGTAATTAGCATGTGGTAATTAACATGTGGTAATTAGCGTGTGGTAATTAACATGTGGTAATTAGCATGTGGTAATTAACATGTGGTAATTAGCGTGTGGTAATTAACATGTGGTAATTAGCGTGTGGTAATTAACATGTGGTAATTAGCGTGTGGTAATTAACATGTGGTAATTAGCATGTAGTAGAACTCGAGTTGCTGGCTAGTCTACACGTATTTTCCAAATAATTTTTTCCAGTAAAAATTTCTTTAATGTATAGAAAAAATACAGAACGTCTGAAACGCTGTTATATATACTCTAACTCATATCAACATAACCGACCCCGTCCTACGCCCACCCGCCCCTCATACCCCAACTTTAGCACGCCATCAAACCGCGACATACGCAACAACGGAATGTTATTGTACATTTATTCTATTGCCTATTGTGTTAACAACATACTTATATCAAACGTTAACATTCTCCAACCACTAAATGTTAACATTCTCCAACCATCACACGTTAACATTCTCACACCATCTGACGTTAACATTCCACAACCAACAGACGTTAACATTCCCCAACCATCACACGTTAACATTCTCCAACCACTAAACATTAACATTCTCCAACCACTAAATGTTAACATTCTCCAACCACTAAACATTAACATTCTCCAACCACTAAATGTTAACATTCTCCAACCATCAGACATTAACATTCTCCCATTTGTCTCGTTCAGTCTTTGAGCAGTTCATAGCGTCTAGTGTCTAGCGTCATAAAACTTTATGTAGTTACACCTTACGTGTTGCATCGATTTTAACAAAACTTCAACACACGGTTGTAAAAAATGGCATTGCTTAATTTACGGATTTAAAACACGCGTGCTTAAACTTCATTGTGAAAGAAATCTTTTTAAAGATTTTAATTTCAAAGTATAAATAAATAAATTACGGTCAAGGAATTTATTTGACGATATTTAATAACAAGGATTTAAAAAGAGGTGTTGGTTTGTATTGAATTGTATGTGATTTGTATGCGAAATGTGCGTGGAGTGAATGAAGGCTAGTACATAAAGCTTAACACAAGTTATGCAGTGCATAAAACACCGCGACCAGCAGTATAAAATATGTGAGACATAACTCTGCTTCAAGACAAGGAAGTTGAGACTTATCTCCCGTGTTACTTTATGACAGCATATTCTATAACCTTGCTCAATGGTATAGCGAGTGTGTCAGTCAGACATAAAAAGAGGGCAGATTGTTCCAGAACAGGTTCTATATCTTCCTGGTTCGTTCTGCAACAGACAGGGAAGATATCAATCTTTGGGGGCAGGGGGGGGGGGGGAGAATAAGGGAAGGGGAAGGGTGGTAAGTTTTTTTAAAGGCATTTCAGATTACAAAAAGCAAGACATATTTTCCAGTACTTGATTGCTTATTTCTATATCACTGTGTTGACATAAAACGTTAACACGTATATAAATAGCTTTTGTTTGGTTATGCAGGGCTATAGCTAATGCTGATTTTACTTATACCGCGTACTCTAGGCCTGACAATTGATAGACCGTCGTAATTTGGGCTTGTACATAGACACGGGAGATAGTAAGCTCATGTACTTAAACAAAAAGCAGTGGACCCGGTAGATTTAATTAAACCATCATTAAATAAGATTAATTAATCAAAGAACTCATTTTCAGTTAAGTTGAATTGTATTTTTAAAGATCAAAACTAACTAAACATATTTCTAGGGTCGGGGGAGAAGGGGGGGGGGGGAGATCACACTACCCCTTTCGGCTAATATTGCTTGCGTCCATTGGGAGAGGGGGAGGGGGCGACACAGTGCCTTTTTTCGGCTCCAATTTGCGAGCGCCCACCTGATAACCAGTGAAATATCACCTTTGGTTGTGTCCAACTGATGGCGTTGACCCTTTTCCCCCCACCCCCTGAGTGCAGGCAACCACCCCGTGCTTATATGCCACTGAGGGATCGACATGATATTGTTCTATCTTTTGTCATCTTTCACCATCCACCCACTTATTCTTACAAAAAGCTACACACACGCCCCTGAATGACAAAGTTCCCCCCCCCCCCTCTTCACTTCATTAAATTAATATTAACCATAATTCTAACGTAAATCAATGTTTTATTTCCATAAATCTTTTTCTAAAAATATGTCCATAAATGTTCCTAACCCCCCCCCCCCCAACCCCCCACTACCTCCACCCACTGTTCCCCCCCTCTACGTCTGGTGTGTGATATCCTTGTGTATGTAATTTGACTATACAGTGTGACGACACCAGTACGACGGCGTTAATTAATATCCCACACACGACTATTTAATTAAACGACTCCCCCTACCCCACATTTCAATGTAATTTAACCATCGTCCCACCCCCCCTGATTGCTATGTCATTCAATGACACATACAATGTAATCGAATGACGCCCATATTTCTATATAATCTAATAACCCCCACATTGCTTTGTAATACAATGACCCCCACATTGCTATGTAATCTAATGACCCCTACTTAAAAATGTAATGTAACAACCCCTACACACTACAATGTAATCTAATGACCCCCCAAATTGCTATGTAATCTAATGACCCCCACCTTGCTATATAATCTAATGACCCCCACTTTGCTATGTAATCTAATGACCCCCAAATTATAATGTAATCTAACGATCCCCACACTACAACGTAATCTCACGACCCCCACATTACAACGTAATCTAATGACCCCCACATTACAATGTAATTTAACAACCTCCTACACAATATAATGTAATCTCACGACCCCCACAGTACAATGTAATCTCACGACCCCCACATTACAACGTAATCTCACGACCCCCATACTACAACGTAGTCTCACGACCCCCACACTACAATGTAATCTAACGACCCCCACATTAATATGTAATCTAATGACCCCCACTTTGTTATGTAATCTATTGACCCCCAAATTGTGATGTAATATAATGACCCCCACATTACAATGTAATCTCACAACACCCACATTACAATGTAATCTAATGACCCCCACATTACAATGTAATTTAACAACCTCTTACACATTACAATGTAATCTAACGACCCCACACTACAATGTAATCTAACGACCCCCACACTACAATGTAATCTCACGACCCCCACACTACAATGTAATCTAATGACCCCCACACTACAATGTAATCTCACGACCCCCACACTACGATGTAATCTCACGACCCCCACACTACGATGTATTGTAATCTAACGACCCCACACTACAATGTAATCTCACGACCCCCACACTACAATGTAATCTAATGACCCCCACAATACAATGTAATCTCACGACCCCCACACTACAATGTAACCTCACGACCCCCACACTACGATGTAATCTCACGACCCCCACACTACGATGTAATCTCACGACCCCCACACTACGATGTAATCTCACGACCCCCACACTACGATGTAATCTCACGACCCCCACACTACGATGTAATCTCACGACCCCCACACTACGATGTAATCTCACGACCCCCACACTACGATGTAATCTCACGACCCCCACATTACAATGTAATCTAACGACCCCCACATTACAATGTAATCTAACGACCCCCACATTAAAATGTAATCTAACGACCCCTACTTTTGTCCCCCAGGGGTGCTGGCAGACGAGTCCCGGACAGCCGTGATAGCAGCTGGGTGTGTGGCCGGCGGGTTGCTGTTCATTGCTGTCATCGTGGCTGTCGCCTGCTTCTTCCTGAGGTAGAGTTGTCGTCTCTTGTCACACAACAGTCACTGACACACTCACACACTCACACATACACACACATATATATGTATATATATATATATATATATATATATGTATATATATATATATGTATATATATATATATATATGTATATATATATATAAATATATATATATATATATATATATATATATATATATATATATATATATATATATATATATATATATATATATATGTATATATATATATATGTATATATATATATGTATATATATATATATATATATATATATATATATATATATATATATATATATATATATATATATATATATACACTTACATACACTTATACACACTCTGACACACATATATAGACACACATCATGCACACAATCTCAGACACATTCATTTACACAGACTCGCTCACAGACATTCACACACACACATACACAAACTCACACAAACACACTCTCACACATACACAGACAAACACACACACACACGTTCACACACTCACGCCCACACACTTTCATTCGTTATCAGAATTATGTTTAGATTTAAGCTTTTCGGCAGAGCCAAGGCTAGAGTTGCCGGTGAAGGGGGGGGAAGGGGGGGGGGGGGGGGGTTAAGAGAACTGGACAGGGGCTCGCTAAAGCAGGAAATCGGGATTCATAATAGGGTTCATACTTGGGTTTGTTTTTGGGATTGGGGTTCATTCTCTGGCTAGAGCTAGCGTTAGGGTTCATGCATGCTTGGGTTAGGGTTCATGCTTGTTATAAGGATAACACTTGGATTTATGCTAGGGTTAAGGCTAGCACTAGGTTTCATGCTTGGCCTAGGGCTCACGTTTGAGCGGTCTAGAACTACGGCTCCTAAGGTTAGGGCAGGCCAGGGACTGTCGTTAGAGGTAGGGCCAGGAGTTTAACCAGACCTCCAACAGTGAAGGAATGTGTCTATTGTAAATGTGTTAAATAAACTGAACCTCTTCTCTCTCTCCCCCCCCCCCCCCACAGGTCCATGAGGCGCGCTGAGAAGAAACCCCTGCCCGGCTCCCACAAGGACCCCACGGCCAACGGCGTCTACCGGTACGACAACCCCGAGGCCTACACCAGCACCCTGCCCCGCCCCACCACGGACCTGGGACCCAAGGCATACACCCAGCACGCGGCCCTCCCACGACAGCGCCCGCCCCTCAACTTCTACACCGTCAGGGCCGAGCCCAGAGCGCTCGTGGAACCCCCGGGGATGATCCCCATGGGGCCAGCTCAGTCTTTCCGAGGGCCACCCCCCGTGGGTCGCCCGGTTATATTTTTAGACTGGAGGACAGGGGAGAGAACCAAAGGTATGTTACGTACTTTATTTTTTATATTCTTGTTAACTGAATATTAGTAGTATACCTAACTGTCCCAAACGCCGTTATAGATTATTCGAATCTCAATCTAATCGCTAAATTATATGTAATAGAAGCGTCGTTATAATTATTGTTAGTGAACCCGATCGATTTAGAATTATAATAAACTAATAACTAATAGGTTACTGATATGACGGGTGCAATATTAATGAATGAAAATGTTAAGTATTATGTCCACATTAACGAATAAAATATATAGAAAATCAAATCTTTGAAATAAACTAGTAAATGCACTACAAATAAAAGATAAAAATTCTTTGGACGTAATTATAACAATTAATAAGTGATTGTGGGTCTAAAAATCACATTTATGTTGTGTAACCAATAATATTTTTTTTTCTCTAATATCTAAAGAAAAGATATCTTAATTTTATTCTAAAGGGCAGTAATTGTTAAGTTATAACTATTTTAAAATAATGTACGAGTTATTGCCCTTGGTAAAATTGTATGATTTACAAATAAAATTATTATTAGTCGTATCATGTGTTGTTTTTACAATTTAAATTACGTTTTCTATAAATGCAACTGTTTTAGGATATCAAGGAGAATTTATGTATCCCAGTGGTGGGACAATGCTCTACTATGGTGTGTGAGAATTAAATGGATTACCTCCCTTTCGTTTTTTTTTTTTTTCGTCAGCGCAGTTTTTAGAATTTCACAAGCTTGCCTATTCACACAATTGATGTTTACTTGATTTTTAAATTTTTTTTTTTTTTTTTTTTTTTTTTTTTAATTAATTTTTTTTTTTTTTTTTGTATTGCCACATTAGTAAGGTAGTTGTGGTTTTAGGGTTGAAACATTGAGCTAATCTCGTGCGACTGTTGTGTGAACGTCTGCCCACTGTTTGAGTTGCCACTGCACCTGCTCCCCATCTATGGTGTGCTTTACAAAAGCCCTCTTTCCCCCCCCCCCCTATTACCCGCTCATCCAGCAACACATCACCCAAATAACAACAAAATAATATCAACCATCAACACCAAACCTGTATTTTAAAAAATAATTATAACGAGAAAGTAAATTGTGCAAAAATAGGACTCCCCCACCTCCGTCTTTCTTTTAAATGTTACGTCTTCAAATAAAAGTACCCTAATGAAGTCTTTTTTAACTGTGTAAAAAAATAATTCACAAACTCCTACTTTTGTTTGTTCATCCAGAGATGGGGGAAGGGGGGGGGGGTTCTTTCCGGAAAAAAAAGTGTTTTTTGAAGATCGATTAAAGACTACATATAAACAAAAAGAGATATGAAAAGAGGCAATATTTAACTCTGCGCTTAAAATAACCAACAAATAACATCACTGCTCAAACTCCCAGAGGTGGACTTTTTTTAAATTGCTGTTAACCAGATTTTTTTTTATTGTGTTGATGTTATTATACTATTGTTAAATGTGTTTTGTCATGTATGTTTTTATACTGATGTTAACTATATCCATGTTTTGCTAAGTATGTTTCTATACTGCTGTTAACTGTGTTTTGTCATGTATGTTTCAATACTGCTGTTAACTGTATCCATGTTTTGCTAAGCATGTTTCTATACTGCTGTTAACTGTGTTTTGTTAACTGTGTTTTGTTATGTATGTTTCTATACTGCTGTTGACTATATCAGTGTTTTGTTATGTATGTTTCTATACTGCTGTTTCAAAATATTGATGTTTTGTGTTGCACTTAGATTTAGCCTTTTTTTTTTTACTCACTGCACCAATGATTATTTGCCTTAATTGTGGTCATTATTTAATTGTTATTGTTCTTAATGATTTATACCCCGAGTATTTGAATTTAATTATTGATTAAATTATCTAAAAAATAGATGCAAGTATGTCAAGAAATTTTTTAAACACAACACTGTGACTTAGATTATTTTGTTACTTTTTTCTTTTGATTATTTACAAAGCACAGCTATTGAAGGGCACTATTTACCTTAGTAAGTAGGGGGCACCATTAAACACAATTGGTAGGGGCATCATCTAGCACAGCTAGCAAGTGGCACCATTAAGAACAAAGGGTGCAAAATTTAACACAGCTAATAGGGGGCACCATAAAACACAACACAACTAGGGCTAACATACCCTCATCTGTGACATGCAAAGTTCAATAGGCCTAAGAACATGATAGATCGCCAACTCATCTATACGTATATTAGACTTCAATGTAAGCTGTTATGTTCTCTCTTTTCTTTTGTACCATTTTTTTTTTCTAAACCTTTTTACAAGTAGAAACAGCTGTTCAACAATTCATGTTTCCTTCCTTTTTGTTTCTAATTAAATTAAAATTAAGTGATGTTAACATTTGTAACATACATTTATTGCGCTTTTAATAAAAAGGACTTTGGTGAAATGAAAAGTTAATACGTGCTTAATTAAACAGACAGCCAATGGCTTAATAATGCTATAATTAAAACAGTTTTTACTTCATTAACTAATGCTATATTAATTAATAAAGATATTAAAAGTAACAACCAGTTCTAAAATCGGAAATTATATATATATATATTATATTCTAAAAAATTGACTTCTATAAAATTAATATAAATAAAAACTATAATTTGTAGAAACATAATGAAGTTTAAACCAGACTTACTTTTAAGTCTTATTAATAATTAATGATGGTCTATTTAGATTCCAATCACCATAATTTCCTTTATTAATGATATTCCGTTTTATCTTCTCCAGCAAACGGTGGACCACTTCTCAAGTAAGCGTTATTCCTAAAATTTTAATGACATAACTTTAAAACTTTATAAAAATAAACATTACTGGTATAATTATTATTTAATTTTTAATTAACGTTTTTGTCTTTCAGGGACAGCGACCAAGGCGAAGATAGAGTAAGATATTTAATTGAATTATCTCCCTCTAGTGTTAATTTACTGAATTATCTCCCTGTAGTGTTAATTTTTTAGTTATTTCCCTTGGTCTACTTTTTTTTTCTCATGTTGTTTGATATCGATGTCTGGTTCTTGATTTTAATTTTCGATTTAATATTTTTTTCTCAGTCCAACCGTCGCCGACACAGCCGCGACTCCCGGGGTCACCGGAAAAGCAAGTCCGTGTCCAAGTCGAGGTCGCGATCACGTGACCTCGAGAAACGCTCGAGCCGGCGTCACAGCCTTCACAGCACCCACGACGAGACGCCCATCCTGGCCGCCCCCGGGGACATCATCTTCCAGACCCAGAACGAGGAGAGCCGCTCCCTCCACCGCGGCGTGGGGCGCAAGAAGAGCCACAACAACGACGACAACAACAACAACCCGCTGGAGATGTACTTCGTCAACCCGATGACCAACCACGCCGACCCGGATTCGTTGGCGGCCAACCCAGGCGGGTACGTCATGGAGAACGGGGTCTACTCTCTGACCCAGCTGCAGAGCTCGAACGGACATTCTAGAAACGTCGAGACGTCGCTGCAGGACAAAGAGAACGTCATCAACTTCAGCGATGAAGACGACGACAACGACGACACGGTAAGAAGAAAATTCAGCGCCCCCAAGTTTGAAGAATTACCTTTTGTGCAAGGACCAAACGTTTTTTCTGAAACAAACAGGCCGTCGTATAACGAAAAAAGAAGGCCGTCGTATAGCGAAACAAGCAGGCCGTCGTATAACGAAACAAGAAGGCCATCGTATAGCGAAACAAATAGACAGACGTACACCCCGCCGGTTTCTGAACCCGTGCGGCTCCCGCCCCCACCCCCGCCCCCGGCTCATGATGAAGGATACCTGATCATCCCGCGAGTGTCCGTGAGGATCCCGGATAAAGAAAACCACGAGTTCAGTCCAGAGGAAATCGATGACATCATCGCCTTGGGTTCTAGACCTCCCCAGCGGGAGGCCAGCTTCCACCGCCAAAACCCAACCTTAGACCGGCCACCGTCTCCACCCTCCCGACCCCCGACCCCGCCCTTTGACGGGTCCATCGACGGGTCTTTCCCGCAGGTTACGTACTACAAGGAAACAAAATCAACCGTGGAGACGGTCGAGAGGCTGCCCACCCCTCCCCCAGATATGGACTCTGACGACGATTCCGAAACCTCCCCCAAAACCAAACCCCCCACCCCTCCTCCCCTCCCTCACAATTTCGGCAGCGTTAAAGTCCGACCCCCGACCCCTCCGCCTGGTCGAATAACTCAAGAGAAATTCGACATCGACGACATCATCAAAATGGGCAAGGAACCCGAAAGGAAAAAATCTCTGACGGAGAGCCCCAGCAACGATTCCGGCCTGCCCTTCATGGCGGAGCTCCGGAAACGGCAGAAAGTCTTCGACGACGCGGACGACAGATCGTCTGCTCCGGCCCACGTGGGGTCGTCCCACAAACCGGCAAAACCGGCCAACAACCGGCACGTCTCCATGTTCGCCCGGCGCCCCAGCAACAGCAGCAGCGGCGGGTCCGGCTCCCCCACCCCGGCGGCCAAGCTCCCCAGCCGCCCGTCCACGGTGCAGTTCGCGGACGACCCCCCGGAGATCATCCCCCGCAATGATGAGCCAGACAGCCCCAACGGATTTGAACCCCCGCCTTTAGGATCTTCGTCTGCTCCAGCACCGCCTCCGTTCCCACCACCTTTTAGCCCGACATCAGCCCCGCCCCCTCCACCACCACCACCTCCCCCTCCACCTCCGCCACCTCCCCCACCCCCGCCAATGTTGAAATAAGTATTTTTTTTTAAAACGTTAATTTATTCCACATTAATCTCAAACCCATGTTACTATTAAAATTTAAAATAGATTGTTATAACTAGAACAAAGTATGAATTTGTTTTGTATACATGTATGCGCGCTTGTATAATTGTATGTAAAATTATGTTCCCAGCAAGCACTAATGTGACCCTCCAACCCACCATAACCAGACCCCAGTTGGACCCCTATACTACACCCAACATCCCCTAACACAAAACAAAAACGTTTTCCTACTGCAAGGCCATATCAACAGAGTTTAATTAAATTATTATTTTTATTTTGTTTCGTAATTCGATAATACCCAGTGTCATGTTGTTTTATATTTAAACCACTGGTTGGTTGAAAAAAATGTGATTTTGTAAACATTTGCTTTTTCATATTTTAATATATTGTCATATGAATTAACTGTCCCATACTACACACACACACACACACACACACACACACACAAAACAACACACGTACAGACTGTGATACAATCTGGTGACACACACATAACTACACACTAATCCAGACACATACACAATAAAAGACAGTCTCCTACACACACCTTTATCTTTTTATATCAGCACGCCACAATGCACACGATCTGATATAGAAAGGGGGGTGCCGTTCGATAATAACGCCAAATATAGCGGGGGGGGGGGGGGAGACCTCTAACGATATGCAACATAGGGGATGTGGGTTTAAAAGAAATGACAAGAAGCATTTTTTTCAATATTATTTTTAGGACAATATCAATTTAAAACTTTTTCGCTTTAGTATATATTTTTTTTTTCTTATTTTAACGACATCGTTCATTTAAAGGGTCATCCATAAATGATGTGATGTGTTTTTTGACAATTTTGTTTGAGAGTAGACATTTGTGAGGTCATGTTAAGTGGGGAGGGGGGCAAGCTATTTGAGACGACGCATACGGTATTACTATACGGGGCAGTGGTGTAATTGTTAATTAGTGTGGCGTTAATTACTGATGTCCAGTTCTATCTTACACACTCAATACACATCTGCAATGCTATATTCACCCAAGCTCACTGTAATTACTGATTCAATATTTGATTTGAAACCATATCGCCACGATTTTTAAAATATTGATTGCATATGTTTAATGAGACCAATTAAAAAACCATGATTGCATGTGTTTAATGAGACCAATTAAGTTGTACATAATTAATCTAGAAGTGCCGGTTTTACTACAGACCGGTTACATTATTTGTTGAAATAAATATTTTATTTATTCACAGACGGGTTGTATTGATTTATTTAGTCACTGTCAATTTATGTTAATTTATTTAGTCACTATCAATGTGTGTTGATTTATTTAGTCACTGTCTAGTTGTATTTGGTTTATTTAGTCACTGTCTATTTATGTTAATCTATTTAGTCACTGTCTAGTTGTGTTGGTTTATTTAGTCACTGTCAATTTATGTTAGTATATTTAGTCACTGTCTAGTTGTGTTGACTATTTAGTCATTGCCAAGGTGTGTTGGTTTATTTAGTCAGTGTTGGTTTATTTAGTCACTGTCAAAATGTGTTTATTTATTAAGTCATTTTAAGGTGTGGGGATTTTACCGCCTGCCTGTATTGTTGAGCGACAAAAGTTGTTCAACTATGTTCTGCGAACTGTCTATCGGCACAACTAATGTGATGCTTATCTGTTAATACCTGGTTTTAGTGAGTGGTCTACATATATGTAGGTTCAACAAAAGTTGGAGAATTCTTCTAATAGTAGAATTGATTGTGTGGGAGAAGGTTGCAGACTATTTTCACTACAAATATGATTAGTCTATTGATAAAGTTAATGTTTCGCGTAAAACACAACATACTAATGTGTCGTTAAAATGTAGACAGTAAATGTATGTGTTTATGGGACGGAGTGGTCTAGCGGTAGAGAGCTGGACTGCTAACCCGTAAGTCTCGAGTTCGAATCCGGGTTCAAGCCAGTAGACCGTCCCTGAGTCCACCCAACTCTGATGGGTACCTAACTCACGTTAGGGAGAGTAAAGGCGGCTGGGCATAGTGCTGACCACACTATCTCTTCATATGCCGAGGTCACAGAAACAAGTGAACTCTACTTCACTTGCCCCATAGACCGTCAGGTTTGAAAGGGAAACTTTACTTTACTTTTTATGTATGTGTTTATATGTATGAATTTATTAATTGTCGTAACAAAAACGTGTACATAATAGCCCATGGCGGGATCTTGTGATTTACTCACCTCATTACCTTTCCTGTTCGTGCCCAAGACACATGGGACAGATGAAGTAGAGTTCATCGGTTTCAGTGACCTCGGAATACAGGGGGGTAGTGAGGTCAGTCAGCACTATGCCCAGCCGGCTTTGGTTCCCTAACGTTAGGCAGGTACCCATCTTTGCTGAGAAAATTCATTAGGTCTTCCAGAATCGAGCCCGGGATCCGAACTCGACTTTCGGGCTAGCAGTCTAACGCTCTCCCACTCGACCACAGAGTATCTTGTAAGTTGGTACTTAACCAAAATTCTAGTTCGAGCCCCGGGCGCATGATGTTCGTTAGCTAGGGACAGTAACCCGTCTAGGAGAGAAAACTCAGAAATCAAACAGGAGTGGCGCCCCTTAGGCGACAGGATTGCCAACTCTGGTTTACTTTCGGAAGCTAATGTAACCGGCGCTGATACCAAACGAAATTCAGCATTCTTTTGGACTAGGACTATACCGGCAGAGGCCCAGTGCAATCTATATATATATATATATATATATATATATATATATATATATATATATATATATATATATATATATATATATATATATATATATATGTGTGTGTGTGTATGTATGTATGTATATATACATTAAGTGACACGTTGAAACTTAACGTGCGGCAATATTCGTTTCTGGGGAGAGTGAAGTAGAGTTCACCTGTTTCTGTGACCTCGATATATGAAGAGATAGTGTGGTCAGCACTATGCCCAGCCGCCTTTACTTTCCATAATGTGAGTTAGGTACCCATCAAAGTTGGGTGGGCTCAGTGACGTTCTACTGACTTGAACCCAGATTCGAACTCAAGACTTTCGAGTTAGCAGTCTAGCTCTACCTTTAGGCAAAGCCGTCCAACGACTAAATACAATGAAATTAAATTAGCGGTCTTGTGGCTTAACAACGACCCACAAAATGACCGCATCTGTGTGTTCGGCTACGTACAGTTTTGTCCCTAGCACCGCCCGAACACCGTCCCTAGTCCGTCCTGTTGATCCAGGTGCTCAACACGACCACGTGATGTGAGCCGACCGGGATCACGTGATGTCGAAAAAATGGCGGCCATCTTAAAACAACAGCCGATCGCGTCATGTGACGCGGACTGCAATTCGGTCAACGACCAGTGCGATCAAACAGTGAGGCGAACGGAGCAGACGACGATTCAATCCTGCAACATTTTAACGCGGATATTTATGACGGGGGGAAAACTGTGCTAGAATGCCAACAAAAGAGATTCGTATGAAATTATTTCTTAACATGTTGATGGCATCACAAACATGCTGTGTCAAAGCATGCTTTGTTGTGTTATTTATAACATGCAAGCATTCTCTCTACTGGAATGTTGGATTTCCTGTAAAACTAGATTCCCGGTTCTGTCTTGGCCTTCGATTGATGCTGTTTGTTTTAAGCTAAATTTTGACCACGCCTATTCTATATTTAAAATACAGCTCACTCATATCCGTTTGATGTCTCACCTAAAGGGAAAAAAACATTTTTGGTCCCATAATTAATATTTTAGACCTTTATGATATAATGCCATGAAAACAAAGATTAAATAACGCCATCTTAAATCATGTGGTTTAATGTGGTATAATGTCACAAAAACTTCAAGAAAAATAAATTATCATTGCAAAATTGAACTAATTAACTAGACCAACTTATTGGTTGAAAAGTGTGGTTGATGTTTGGGTATCCGTCTCCATTCTCTGGACACAAACGGATACCCAAACATCAACCACACTTTTCAGTAGAGGAATGCTTGCACGCTATTAATAACACTACAAAGCATGCTTTAACACAGCATGTTTTGGACGCCATTAACATGTTAAGAAATAATTAACGAAATATTTTTGCTGTGAACTGTGAGGTTAAAAAATAGAGTCAAACATACCGCTCATATTCATATGATCAGTAGATGCTTGTGATAGTGGATGTATGTTGTAGGATTGTATTGAAGGGTGTTAGATGTGGAGTGTGGTGGATGTGGAGTGTGGTGGGTGTGTAGGATGGAGGAGGGTGGTGGACGTGGAGGGTGGTGGATGTGTGGGATGGAGGAGGGTGGTGGACGTGGAGGGTGGTGGATGTGGAGGGTGGTGGATGTGGAGGGTGGTGGATGGAGGTGGAGGTGGGAAGTGGATGATAGTGGTGGAGGAGGGCAGTGAAGGTGGGTAAAGAGGGTAGTGATGGTAAAGGTAGAAGGGTGGTTGAGGAGGAAGGTAGTATGTTGGAGAGGGGGTGGAAGAGAGAGGTCGAGGAAGGTGGTGGAGTAGGGCAGGAGAGAACTGCGGCTGTATAATAGAGGTGGAAGGTGGGGGGAAGGAGGGTAGTAGAGAAGGGAGGTCGAATATTTAAGGACGTTGACTCACAAAGTTTTCTCAGCAGTAAAAAGAAGACAGCTCAGACTGAAAAAAATAAAAACAAACATGTGTTTTTAACTTGTTTACATACTTCAATCTTCATCTGCATTAACCAAGCACATCGACAAAAAAATATTTCACAACTAGGCCTACTGTTTTTCTCTTGTCAGCTTCAAAATCTTCCGGGTAGAAACATTTATTGTGAAATAACATTGTATTGCCAGGTAGTTTGGGCCTGTAAGCGCTGTCAAATGAGGAAATACCCCCGTCCACATATCTCCGTTAAAAAGCGAACTTCTAGACGACAATTTGCCAAGAGAAGAGTCAACAAAGTTTTGTAAGGCGAGATTTTAACAAGCGACCTGCAAAAGGCGCTCGTTGTTTGATGAAGGTTTCCGGCTTCAAAGGTAGATGGGTATTAGAACGGATTAGTCTTTTCGTACATTTAACTCAGGTTTGAGGTTCGGTGACTAGGAGGGGGTGGGGGGAGGCGTGTCTAGGTTTTTTGAGGTTTTATTTTAGTTGAATGACGCGGTGGATTGATTCATGCTTGCGTGTAAATTGGGAAGAATTTAGTTCTACCTCAACGTTTCTCAAAGTGGGGGGGGGGGGTAGTTGTGATGCGGTTCCGGGTTTAAACAGGACGTCACAGTTGGGGGTTATTTTTTTTTTTGCAAATACCCTAACATGAGGGGTGGGGGGGGGGGGGGGTAAAGACTTAACATCTAGGTTTTAACAAGATCTAACGTCTACTTCTGCAGTAATTTCACTGTGAAAGACTCACTTAAACGTGACACGACAGGTGCTGAAGTGGAACCCCCAGGAAAGAGAGGGCGTCCAAAACAAACCTGGAGGCGGGGTCTTCTTCTTGAAGAACTGAAGCCAACAGGGATGTCTTGAGAGGTTATAAAATCAACTGCCGGGGACGGGACAAAATGGA